GACTTCCATGGGGGATGTGGAATATATGCAAGTACAAATGTAAACACATTGGCGGAACACCTACTTCAAAGATAGGATTTTAAACAAACAGAAGTAGCAAAGAAGCCACATATGTGGAATTACCTTAAACAAATCTTTAAATAACCCAGAGGGGATCCTGACATGATCAGCAATGGAGATCCCCGTCAAACATCTCTATCCCTACTTGACATGGCAACGAAAATGGTAAAATCCCTACATCTCATGATCTCTAAAACGAAATAAAATGCAAAGAGAAAATAGAAAAGAGGTATATCAAACAGATAACAATCAGTAGTAAGCAGGCAAGGAGATATAAGAAACCCGGAAAACATTGAGCGAGATAACATCAACAAACAAAGCAAGTCAAAAATCGGATGTCCAATATAACCCTCAAAGAAAACAGTGTGAAAATAAATCACAAAAAAAATGATGTGCATCGAACACCATCACAAAAGTCATCCCACATAAAAATACAATCCAGACAAAAACACAGATCAAGTGTGTATTCCTCAAGTCAAGAGGATCAAAGTATAAACTTGTCTAAATCACATCCATATTTTGTAAGTAAAGTGAAATACGGATCAAATAGGATATATAATTCATGTTCTCCAAATAAAGTGAAACATGAATCAACACCAATATGAGAATTCCCTTATATAAGAGTCCTTGCACAATCATCATGCATGTTAAAAATAACAAGAAAAGATCTAAACCAAAAGAGAAAACACAATGCAGAACAAGCCAAAATAAAAAAGTTGTTGTTTTTTAGCCTGGGAACCTGGTTACTAGAATTTGGGTAACCGGTTACCCTATCTCAAGAATCTGAGAAAGTAGCTACTGACTTGAGGTAATCGATTACCAAAAATTTGAAAATTTTGGAGATTTGCTTCTGTCTTGGGGTAACCGGGTAACCAGTTACCTCGTGATAGTTTTGAAATTTTTTGTGAATGAAATGGATGGTAACCGGTTACCATAGCCAGGTAACCGGTTACCCTCGTGTCAGAGGCAATTTTAACATATTTTTGAGCATTTTCTCATGGCTTGAACATTTAATCAAACACAAAGTCTCCACACATTCAACACATGATCTTACATGATTTAAAGCCTAAATTCACATTACACATGATGGATCAAGGATCAATAATTAAGCTTCATGTAATATCATCAATTTGTTTCATCAATTAAGCACTTTCATATAAATTAACTTAATTCAATAAGCACTTAATTCATCTATCCAATTCCGGATTTACGCATGATCATCAAATCAAATCACAATTCTAGGCCTAGATCTAAGTTCTCAATTCAAAATTCAATTCATGCTTGATAAAAAAAGTACTTCTCAAATAATCACTTATTCTAAAAGTGCTTAATTTAAGAAAACTCACTAATAGAAATGAAAAAGAGGCTTAGGTATAAAAATCGCAATGAACGGATCAATAATCGGAGAAGAATTGTTCTTGATCTTGACTTTTGAATCTTTGATAAAATTGTTGTTGTGTTCTTGATGAAAAAGGTGTAGAACCTTAACTTGATCTTTGTGAGAATTAGGAGAAAAGAAGTTTAGTGTTTGTGGGATTTTTGTGAATTATGAGCCTCTCCATGGAAAATTCAGATTTCAAGATTATATACATGGGTCAATTGGACTTTGGATGAGGAATTTGAGTTGGGCCTCCATTTGACGGTGTAAGCTCCATACGTACAAAAAGTGCCACGTCATCATCCGTATGAAATATCGAACCGAATTCAAAACAAAAAATGAAGATCATCAAATTTGTGACGTGTTGCCGAAATAATAGGCTCAATCGGATAAGAGAAGAGGAAGTTATGAATTTTTGAGGTTTCGTTGACACTGTGTCAGGCAAAATAATTTCCTCTGCAACATTTCTATTGCGTCATACGCGGAACGGACCAAAAACGGAAGCCTTCGAGTCACCATTTGATCTCGGCATCTGAAGAGAAAATGTAGTAGACAAAACTTATGAACCAAGCCTCTGGGATTAGCTCAATATAATAAAAATCAAATGAGATGTGAATTTTACCGTATCAAACATTATTACCAATGAATTCTGGTTCATCACAAACATGTCTTAAGAAACTCAAAATCTGCGGGTCCTTCCTTAGTGAATCAATTTTTGACTTCCAAAGACGACATTAAGATGACATCGAGACAGAATTTTGGCAATAAAAACCACGCGCATACGACATTCCAGCCGGGAGTTATGATTTTTTTAATGCACACGAAACCACGATTCAGCACGTCCTTCTTTGTATTTTTTCTGTATAACTTCCAAGAGCATTGCATATTCAAAGACCTTTCTTCGTGGATTAGCTTTTTGTCCGAACATAAAGTTGGAGAGGACATACAGAAGGTTTCAAAACTCCAAGAATCAGCCCAAAACACCGTTCCCAAGCAGAAGATACGAATTTTTAAACTCAGATCAGTTGAAATACTGTTTCCAATTCTCATAGCTTTAAATTTACCGAAAACACCCAAATCTTTCACCTCTCCGCATGCTTTTAAAAAAATGAGAGCTTTGTTGTGTTGATGAAATACCTTGGTCCTATGAGTATGGATCCAATGATATGCATGCATGTATATTCTAACAAGAGTATAAGCCAATCATAGTTGAAAAATGAATAGAGCAAATTTTGGGGTACAACACCGGGAATTTTAAATCTTTCTGGGATTTTCATGTATATATCAATGTCAAGTAAACCATATAAATAAGTAGTAACAACATCCATAGGATATATATCAAGATTGTTAAATACTGATAAACCAATTAAATAACGAAAAGTAATGGCATCCATAACAGGAGAGTATGTTACCTCATAATCAATTCCTGGTCTTTGGTAAAAACCTTGTGCAACAAGACGGGCTTTGTATTCGACAATTTCATTTTTATCATTTTGTTTTCTTATAAATATCAACTTATATCCAACTGGTTTCACATCTTTCGGTATAGCCATAATAGGGCCAAATACATTTCGTTTTTTAAGAGAATTTAATTCAGTATCTATAGCATCCTTCCAATTTTTCCAATCATGTACATTTTGAAATTCATTCATAGATCGAGGTTCAGGATCATCATTTTGATTCATAATTCACATGCAACTGAGAATGAAAATATCTCATCAATATTCACACCTTTTCGATTCAACAAATTTTCTATATTAACATAATTAATTGAAATCTCGAGATCATTCTTGTTTTCAGTTTCATTATCAATGATCTTATTATCATCATCTTGTGCTTCTTCGAGAGCATGATTTTTAATCGTGGATTTATTATTATTATCCAGTGTCTTTTCAAGGTCACTTTCAATCAAATTCACTTTTTCTATTACTTTCCTTTTTCAGGGATTTTTGTCTTTGGATCCCATAGGTCGGCCACGCTTCAAGTGTGCCTTAAAAGTACTTGCTACATCATTTAGATTTGAAATCTCAATTCTAGTTGGAACATTTATTGCTGGTACATGTGACTTTGTCACTCTTTTCAAATCAGTAAATGAATATGGCAATTGATTTTCTAAATCTTGTAAGTGTATTATTTTCTTTACATTTTCTTCCCATTATCTATTATATGGGTCCAAATGTGATAAATGGGGTACATACCATGTTATGTCATTTTCTACCTTTTTATTCTCTCCCCCAAGCATTGGAAATTTTCTCTCCCACATATATTCCTAACCTCCTTTGATCCCATCTTTGTTCTTTGTGGTGGAGATATTGGGATATATATTGCACAACCAAAAATATTTAAACGAGAAATATTTGGTTCCTTACCAATTGCAAGTTGATAAGGGGTATGTTGTAATCAAGAAATTGAGCTCTAAGTTTAATCATTTGTGTAAGAAATTTTGCAAATGTCATATCATGACTTGACAGTAAGCATACATATGACCATCTACTAAATGCATCAATCAATACCATAAAATATTTGAATGGTCCCGATGATAGATGGATAGGTCCACATATATCTCCTTGAATGCTTTCAAAAAATGTCGGTAGTTCTGTCTGAATCTTACTTGGTGAATGATTTGTTATTAGTTTGCCAAGAGAGCAAGCTTCACATGGTTTATCTTCTTTTGTAAGTTTTAAACTTTTCAATGGATGACCATGCATACTTTCAACTATTTTACGCATCATTGTTGAACTAGGGTAACCTAAATGGTTATGCCATAAATTCACAACTTTGGGATCTTCTTTTACTACTAAATTACATTCAATTTCATGTATATATGTATAATATAATCCAGAAGGTAATTTTGGCAGTTTTTCTAAATTTTATTCTTTCCCAAAACATTGGCAGTGATATTAGTGTATTTCATATTACCTTCAGTTGTAGTTTCAGTATCATATCCTTGATGATATATGTCATTAAAACCCAATAAATTTCTCTTTGATTTTGGAGAGTATAAAGTATTATTAATGACAAATTTTGTACCATTTGGTAATATAAACATAGAACTACCTGTTCCTTCAATCAAATCTACAGGACCTGATATTGTGTTTATTACTCCTTTAGTAGTATTTATTTCAGTAAAGTATTTCTTACTTTTGAAGATTGTATGGATAGTCCCACTGTCCGGAATATAAATGTCTTTGACATGTTCCATGTCAAACCTTCTTAAAATAAAAATAAGGTTAAATGGAGAGTAAATAAACAACATTATTACTTCATGAAAAACATAAGATACACCATATAAATTCATAGTCTAAATATAAAATAATACAAATACATCACACATTATTTATATAGTTACTTAATTCATTGATCCTTCAACGAAGTCGGCAGTTTCAAAATAGGTATTTTCCTTTCTGGGTTCAATCTCATTAAAATTAACTTCTTTTCCTTTCTCCTCTACAAATACCATTTGTCGTTTACACAAATGATCTGGTGTTCTACACACTTTAGACCAATGGCCTTTCTTTCTGCGTCTGAAGCATACATCCTCATAATTTCTCGATGGACCTTCTTAGGTATACTTACCCTTTTCTTGATGATTCCAATTATTTTGGTCATATCTAGGAAATCTAAAAGTATTCATATGACCTCTTCCACGTCCTCTACCACGAAAATAGTTTCGACCGTGGAAAAGGTTTCGACCATGATATCCTCCTTGACTGTGACCATCAAAACGAGCACGACCATTATTACAATCAAAACGAGCATGACCACCACGTCTCTTAAAACGATTAAATCCACCACGCCCATGATTAAAGGTTGTGGAATTAATTTCAGGATAAGTTATTTGTTCTGGCACTAGAATGACTGCAACTAAATCCGAATATTCAGTAAATTCCCTCATTCTATATTGTTGTTGCAATAATACCTGAGATGCATGAAAAGTTGAAAAAAAAATTCTAAATTTTCTTTTTCAGTTATAATTGTGCCACAAAATTTCAGTTGTGCTATAATGTGGTGCATATGAGAGTTATATGCAATGACACTTTTGTAATCTTGGTAACTTAATTTGTTCCACGGATCCATTAATGAGGGTAACAAGACTTTTTTCGGATGTTCAAATCTTGCTTTAATTTTGTCCCATAAAATCATGGGATCTTTAGCATTTGAATATTATGTTTGTAATCCATCATCAAGATGGTGCTTGATTATTCTATTCATTTTTGATTTTCTCTTTTCCATCTCATCTGGGTCGTCTGTTGATTTTCCAGAATTGTCTCCTTCAAGTATTTTGTTAAATCCCTCACATGTAAGGTACTCAATTAGATTGTTGTTCCAGGTTATGAAGTTGTTCCCAATTATGCTTAGAATTTTGAATTGATGCTTAAGACTTGACATGATTATATATAGAATTCAGATGAACATAATCAATATTTAATGCATAAACAAAACAAAATCAATTTATTCAATTACAAAATCCATGACTGCATATTATTTAAAAACCTTTACTGATAAACCAAACTATGACTAGTAATGGTAAGACGATAATTATCATTGAAACTACAAAATCATTACACAATTCTTCACAATTGAGAATACCCATAAGAAACAAAATAATGACGAGTAGAGTGATGACCAAAATAAGAAATTTAGCCATTTGAAAAATATGAATAAATATTTTGAGAATGATGTGAAAGTTATGAAAGAAATTGAAGTATTTATAGAGATAATTTTGTAAAATGACCGTTGTAGTTACCGTTGGGAAAAAGGAAAAATAAAAAGAAAAAGAAAAAGGTTAAGTGTGTTACGAGTTATTTAGCCAAATCTTAAGTGTGTTAAATATCATCTAATAATTATAAGTGATAGAGAAAATTATGAGATAACATGAACACATATGATTAAAAAAATATGTATATGGAATTTTAGATCTCCAATAAATATAAAATTTAGTAATAGCATATGAAGTTTTAAACCCTCACTAAATATAAAATTTAGTAACAATATATGGAGTTTTAAACCTCCACTAAATATAAAATTTAGTAACAATACATGGGGTTTTAAATCTCCACTAAATATAAAATTTAGTAACAATATATAAGTTTTAAACCTCCACTAAATATAAACGTTAATAATTACACATGGAGTCTCAGACTTCCATTAAATATAAAAGTTAGTAATTATATATGGAGTCTCAGACTTCCATTAAATATAAAAGTTAGTATTTGCATATGGGGTCTCAAACTTCCACTAAATATAAAAATTAGTAATTGCATATTAGATTTTTAACCTCCACACAAAATTTATAATAAGAATAACCACTATTATTATAGAGCACTTAACAAATTGTCAGTTTTCTATAACTGAGGCAAATAACAGTAATAATAAGATTAAAAAGATAAGTATAAAATATATATCTAGTATAGTAAAAACTTTCGATATAAACGATCGTGCTGGTAACATGTTGAGAAAAGCTAGATATTTGAATCTAACTTAGTTACAAAACTAGCTATAATATTATGATACTCAACTATGAGAAAATAATGAAAAAAGTGGAGTGATATTTTTCTATCTTTCAAAGTAAAACTTGGTATCATTTACATTTACCAAAGCAGTGTATTTATACTAGTAAAAATATTACTATTATAATTGTTATTACTATTCTATCTTTGACAAATTATACATCACCGATAATTTTTCATTACTATTTTAAGTTTTAAGTTTGACTATTAGTTAGAAATTTCTAAATAATTATAATAATATTCTTCATTATTATATCAAAGACAACAATATACTTATTTATAAGCCAAAATATATTATAACAGCAAGTAAAAGATGATCCAACCAATCACATAGAATTAATCATAATGCTTGGACACTTCTTATAGGATTAATAAATCATTTCAATATGCACTTCCACAAGTTTGCAAGGAATTTTATTTTCTCATTTTTTCTGTTGTCTTGGATCATCATCATCAAAGAATCATGGAGGAGGAGATAGAGGAGAAGGAGGAAGAGGAATGAAGTTGTGGTCACGTGGAGGAGGAGGACTGAAGTTATGGCCATGTGGATCATCATCAATAATATAACCTAGGCGTCCATCTTTAAAATTCTCAAACAAACATGGCAAAAACATAACGAGAATGAATTAGAAAGCCATACATAATCTTCAAATGGAAAAAACTAATAATTTATTAAAAAACAAAAACAAAACAAATGAACCATTTTTCTAAAAAAAGTATCAATTTTCTTACATGTTTTGTGATGAGGTTCAATTTTCCATAGTAGTACCCTTGCCGTTGATGCCACTTTCATTGAAAAGATAATCACAAACAGCAAAGTCATGTTCAATATAACCTTCTTAAAGTAAGTCATTTATCTTGAAAGAAAGATAATAGAAGTCAAAAGACATGTATGTATGTTGAATAAGGATGAGGATTGGGTTGAGATATATATGCATTGAGAGATAAATAACTCCCCTCAAAGAGTATCTTACGAATAATATTCTCTAATAATAGAACCAAAATTATCATTCTGAAAAAAATAACTATACTATGTAATTTTTTTTCTAAACATTTGTTCATTATATCTTAATGAAAAAGTTATTAATTTTTTATTATTTATTTAAAATTTAATAAATGAGTTTATACAAAAATAAAAGTTAAATAAACAATAAAAGTTATACAAACTAGTTTATTTATACATACAAATTAAGGCCACATAAGCAACATGCTAAAAATACTAAATTACCCTTCAATATCATCCCTTAATTTAGGATTTCGTAAACTAACAACACAAATTTCATTCTTTAATTGGATAAGTTGATTCGTTTTGATCACCTTTGCCAGAACATCTGTCAGCCACTTCTAGGTGCTACAATGCATAACTTCTAGTACTCCGTTCTAGATTTGACTTATCAGAAAATGAAAATTTGTCTCAATATACTTGTTTCTCCCATGCATCACTGGGTGTTTGGCAAGATTGATTGCAGACTTGTTATCAATCATCAGCTTCAGCGGCTTGTCTACCTTGATCTTCTGATCTTGTAGTAGATTCAGAAGCCAAATAACTTGACATGCAGCTACAACACCTGCAATATACTCAGCTTCACAGGTTGACAGTGCAACAATAGATTACTACTTGGAACACCAAGAAATAGGACCTCCTAGAAACTTAAACAAGTATCCAGAAGTACTTCTCATGTCAACTCTATCTCCACACCAATTAGAGTCAGAATAACTAGTTAGCTCTGAATTAGCCTTTCTTCCATAAAGAAATAGTACTCCATATTTCATAGTTCCCTTGATATATCTTAGAATCCTGACAGTAACTTGGTGATGAGACCACTTAGGTTTACTCATGAACCTACTAACCATTCTAACTCCATAACACATATCAGGTCTGGTATTACACAGATACCTCAGAGAACCAACCAATTGTTTGAAAGTTGTAGCATCTACATCCTCACACTCAAAATCAGAATCTAATTTATGATTGTTTCTGAAGGTGTGACAATAGCCATACAATTCTACAGCTTAAATCTCTTCAGAAGCTCAAGTTCATACTTTAGCTGATGTAAAATTATACCCTTCTCAGAGTATAATACCTTCATCCCTAGAAAGTATACTAGCTTTCCAAGGTCAGTCATCTCAAACTCATTTATCAGTACCTTCTTGAAATTGACTACCTCATCTGGACATCTCCCTGTTAGCAATATGTCATCAACATAGAAACGCCCCTGAATCATATTTCCTCCATAATGTTGCACATAAACCCCATATTCCATCTCACATTTTTGAAACTCCTACTTCTTGAAAAATGAATCAATCTTCAAATTCCAAGTTTTGATTGCTTGCTTCAATCCATACAAGGCTTTATGCAACTTGTACAACATCCCTTCCTGATTCTTTTTCACAAATCTAGGAGGTTGTGAAACGTATACTTCTTCTTGTAATGGAGCGCTCAAAAATGCATACATCACATCCAAATGCATTAGAGACTAATCCTTATTCGCAGTTATAGCAATCACCAGTCTGATTGTTTCATGTCTAACTACAGGGCAAACACCTTAAAGTAATCTAGTCTAGATTTTTAAAGAAAACCTCTAGCCACTAGCCTTTCTTTGTGCTTACCAATTTATCCATTTGGCTTAAATTTTACCTTGAAAATCCATTTGACGCTGATGGTTTTCTTCTCATTTGGAAGCTTAGTCAACTCCCAAGTCTTGTTTCTTTCTATAGCCTCAAGTTCTCATCTCATGGAATTCATCCACACGTTCTTCTTGAGAGCTTCTTCAATACCCACTGGTTCATAATCTACTATGATGGAACACTAAAATATTTCTCCCTTGGAATCTACTTCAATAACTTGCAACATGTCAAACTCTACAAACTTCTTGGTATTTGTCTGATTCTGTGTGGCCTCTGAACTTGTTCTGAATCTTCTACAGAAACTGGAACTATGTTAGCTTTTGGACCTCGCCCAGAACCCCTACCTTTAAAAGTACCACCTTCAGAAGCATGAGCACCTCCAGAAGCTTGTCCATAAGAACCTACGTCTTCATAGTTTTCCCTTCCAGAAGCATAATCACCACAAGATTTTGGATTATCGTCAAAAACTAGATCAGAAACATATTAACCATCAGAATCACCTTTGGTTTCTGAATCATCTCCGGAGTCTCCAGAATCATCTTCTGACTCATCTTCATAACTTTTTGAGGTATCTTCATAAGTATCTTCAGAAACTATCTCAGGTGGTCACACTACACCAGAATTTAATTGAGACTTGCCCGAATCCCATGCTTCTGTCTCTTTCATAATGACGTCTCTGTTGACTTCAACTTTATTAGTTTTGGGACAATAAATCTTGTACGCACCTGTATTGTGGTGCCCCACTAGTAACATTACTTTGCTTCTATCATCCAACTTCTTTTTCCTAGCTTCTAGAACGTGTTTGTAACATACAGAACCAAACACCTTCAGATGGCTAACACTTTGCTTGTCTCATGTCCACTTCTGAATAGGAACCTGTGATCGGTGGATCTGGAACTGACTGTTTAACGCTGGTTCGCGAAATGTCGCGGAAGCAAGAGTCGCCACCGTCTTTTATTTTCTCCAAATGGAAAGGACAAAAGCACAGAAAAATTCCTTATTGAGATTGCTCTCGGTTCGGGAGGTAGATTATAGAAAGGGAAGGTGTTAGCACCCTTTCTATCCATGGTTATCCATGGGCTCTTAGATACTTGCTCACTGTGTTTTCAAAAATGGTTTGTTTGCTTTTCAATTGTGGGTTTTTTAAAAAGTTTCTTTGAAAATTTCAGTTCGACTCTTGTATCGGTCCTCAAGAGTGTTTGAAAAAATGCTTTCGAAAGCTTTTTGAAAATGTGTTGGTGTGAAAAGTATTTTTGAATTTGTTTTGAATTTAGAGCAAGTATCTAGAGTCGTCTACCTACCCTAAGGAATTCGTCTGTGTAAATGTCCTTTAAAGTAGTGCCATCCCACCATTGAGAGGTAGGTAGCACCACCGTTGGAGGTGTTCGGGTCAATTCGAGGTTCGGGACATGGTGATCACCAGAGCAATAGGAAGATACCTTAGAAGCTACCCTCATGCCAGGTTCCCGGATCATGAGGACTTACTAAGACATCCTCTACTCGACGATCACCTTTCGAGAGGCAAGGCAACAGTGAGGCGTACTCTAGGGGTGGTGTGTGATTTGTGTGTCATGTTCATTTATTTTTGTCTTGTCATGTCATTATTTAATAATTAAAAATTGCGAGAAAAGTAAATTCTAAGCTATTACAAACGGCGCGGGTCCACATCGCCAAAAGTTTCTCGAACCCGATTTGACAGAAAAATAAAGAAAGTAAAAGTGCGAGAAGTATTTACACGGCTTCGGGAGAGATACATAAATATTTAAAGGGAATAAGATAAAAATGCGAATTAATAAGAAATTAAGAACGAGGGCGTTGGACCCTTTTGCAAAAATTGAATTAATGATGGAGTTAATTAATTAAAAGAAAAGGAATTGTTTTTTTGATATTTTTAGTATTTATGATTTAATAGAAAAAATTAATTGAAATTAAACGCTAACCCTAATTCTATTTTATTTTAATTTATTAAGAAAACATTAGAATTTAACCTAAATTAACCCTAATTTTTATATACAAATTTAATTATGAAAATAAAATAAATAATATTATTGAAAGAAAAATAAAAAGGATGAAAAATTAATTAAACCCTATTTCTACATTTTTTAGATTTTTATTATGAAAGAATTAAAATTACAACCTAATTTAAAACTAAGTTCAATTACATGCAAATTTATTTAAGAAAATACTAAAATAAAAATTATTTATTGTTTTAATCCTTTTCTGATTTTTTATGATATTTTATATTTTTGTGAAAATAATTAATTAAATAAACAAATAATAGTTAAAAGAAAAAAATAGAATTAATAAATAAATAAAAAAAACATAGCAAACCTAGGGGGTTCAGACCCCAAATAGGAGGTGATTCTTTAGAAATTCAGGCCCATTAAGACATTGCCTGGTTGACTTTTGCTGGACGCGTGTGATGCATGGACTAGGGTTCACCATAGTCTTCAATTTATGGCCTTTGATCTGATGAAACTGGACGCGTGTGCGCTTGGTGGAGAAGGTGTATGGTGCGCTTCAACCTGGGCACTACATGTGAAGATCAATGGAAAAATAATATTGAGAATATTGAAGACCTGGGGCTCGAACCCAGGTCATATGCTTTGCCAACCCTTGTGCTTGTCAATCGTGCCAGTAGCGCGCTTTGTATGTAACATAATAAACAAACATTATAATATAAAGCAATTCATTAATGCCTCCTGCGCGCGAATTTTTGAACCTTCCAATCAGCGCTCCCCACGTTATCGTCTTCCTCGCGTGGTTTTCATCCTGAAAATATAATAAAACATAGGCAACGGTTTTTACACCGTTGCAGAAAGCACCTTTACAGAAAATAGCGACTAGCCCTAGGGGCTCTATAAATTAGGCGCGAGGGTATGTTTGAGATCGTCCAGACGCGCTGAGTTGAATGGTGGTGGTCTTGAGGGCCAATTTTTCTTTGTTTCAAAATCCCCAATTGGAGGTCCTGCAAACCCTACAATACAACCATGGCGATTTCTCGTATAGCTCACAAAAACACAATCAATCTATATAGTTAGCTTCAGAACACATTACTCAACACAAATGCATAATCGAAATGCCATGAAAACGCCTAAATCTGGAAATACGATTTTGAAAAATATAAGAGAAAACTGGATTTCTGTATACCAATTCTCTGAGTTTTGATGGATGTTTTTGATTGGAACACGTTCAATAATCTTCAAGGAAGCTAATGGAATGGAA